TGTTCTCCTTCATTCCCTTTCTCTTATGCACTTTTGAGTTCACGGTCACCCTTACTGAAGCTGCATTCTACCCTGATTTTTCCCCCTGCTGGTAAGACTCAAATGCACAGAAAGGGTCCTCCTAGCTGCTTTCTCCAATTTTTTAATGTTTTTAACTCACCAAAAAACAACCCAAAAAACAACCCACCTCCAAATGATGCTTGTGGGAAACTGGTCTGTATATAGCTCCATTTGAATAGTGTTCTTTCCCCATTTTTCACCATGCAGCAGGTTTAACTCCTAGCTTCCATCTCTCATATAAATTATTTGCATCTTTAATGGGTGAGAAAATGCTACATCCTTTATTCGTTCCCTAGCCAGCCCTTCTTGGACAATGTATTAACACTCCATAAACTACTACTTAGCCCATCAGGTTTGTGTTATACCAATTAAATTAGAGTTTTCTTCTGCTTGTTTATTTCCTTTTCTCCTTGCTATGCTACACAGACAGCTAAGATCTTTGGCAAATAAATTAGTGCTCTTGAGTGACATATTGCCCCAATCCAATCTGCCAGATGCCATTATTACATAAGATATAATTACACATAGCATAGGGGAATTGCAGGATTGCAGGCATGAAGATAACTTCATAAGGGAGGAAATTTTGCTGCTGTTATATTCAGGATTTGCTATTGCTGTTAGGTTTTTTTCTGTTTCAACGGATTGACTTCTGTTTATTGTCTTGGAAAGGTAGCCCAAGGTGATGAGTCCACTTGAAGGGATATGGTGATTTGCTGGGATGAAGAATCTTGGGATTTTCTCAAAGCTTTTCTCTAGATATCATTAAAGAAACTTTTGCTTATCACTGAACTGCAAACAGATGTCCCAACTCTCTTCTTGAAGTACCTCCCATACTCAAGCTATTTATTCTGGTTCAGTTCCCCACTTGATTCCTCTTCAGTAACATACTTTGGCTTATGTTCATGTTCTGTTTATTTCAATAGGAGTCAAGCATGTGCTTAATCAGACAGACATCCAAATGAATAAAGAGGGATTGCAGCCTTGTTTCAGTCATGTGCTATTCTGAGGCCTCTCTGTTTTAAATTTTTCATTTTGTTTTCCAAAATTTCTTTGTCAGCTCTTTCTATGAGGGAGACAGTGTGTTTCACAGCCTGCGCATAGTGACCTGTTTTTACCAAAGCTGCATCAGATTTCTGTCTAACCATTTCCTCGCCAAGCCACAACATGTTCACCTACAGTGACCAGAATCTTGTGACACACACACCACCTCCGGTGAAGTATGACTGTGTTCGACTCAATAGTATGTACTCACTCTCCCATATTGGTCTTTCTCTCTGGTTACTGCTGAATGTTTACTGCTTTCTCTAATTGTACCTATATACTGTATATTTAATCCACCAGCACAATCAAATGCATACATACCTTACAATTTTGAGCTGACCTGTTAAGATGGCAACTAAACCACTAAAATTCTTTGCCTATTTGGAAACCACAATAAAACCAAAATACCTGTTCAGAAATTACTCTCCAACAAAAATTAATTTCCATAACAACATGTGGACAAGTGTAGATTAAGAATGTATTTTTATATAACCTCCAAATTCATAAAATCCTATAAGTCAAGAAGTTTAACCAGAACTGGAAATCATGATAGTTGTTTGATTTTGCAATCTTTTGTCTCCATGGGATGGCAGTTACACAAAATGAAAAAACTTTTTTCAAAATTACAGTTTTACAGTGCTACTTATTAAGTCCAATGAAAGGAAAAGATTCTGCAATGGAATAGAATGTTTGTTTATGTAAAAAACCATAAAGTGTCAGCCAAGCTCTTTATTGTACAGCTTGGGGCACAGTTAGGAATTCAGCATTGACTCAGTGAAAGTAAAGAAACAAAGAAGATGATCCCTACAACACAAAGTTCTCTCTCTCTTTTTTTTTTTTTTTTTTTTTTTTTTTTTTTTTTTTTTTTTTTTTTTTTTTTTTTTTTTTTTTTTTTTAGTTTTGCTGCTAAGAGACTGACATACTGTGCTACACAATACAGAACTAAAAGTTAGTAGTACCCATGGATATGGAGGCTTTCTAACTGTGAAAAATGCCATATCCACTATTTGTCCATGTTCTTGAATGATTTTTATTGGGAATTCTCTGTGCTGCCCTTTCAGATACCTACTGTATGGATCAATAGCTGAAACTGCATTGTCAATACGTTATGGCGTACATTGTTCCTCACTTTGTCTCCAGTGTTAATTAGTCAGTCTGAACAGTGTTAATTAGTCAATGTGATGGCGGAAGAATTGATAAGGACTTGATGCCCGTTAAGGACTGGATGGCTTCTTCAGGGCTACTGCAAAAGTGACAGAAGGAAACAAAGAGCTGGTCTGTATTTGGAAGCACTTCAGAGGATGCTGTCTTTCCACACATGATGGGAAGAATCTGTTTTCACCCACTGAATTTTGCATTTGAAGTACTGAAGGAACTCAAAGAACTTGTTTGTAATTTTCTAGCTTGAATTTGAATCTTTGAAATAAGATTGAATGTTTTAATAAAAGTAAACATCATCTATATATCATACTGGAAGAAATGTAACTGCTGTTCAGACTAACAAGAACGGCATCCTATAAGTTTGCAGAACACATTTTACTTAGAAGCCAGGTTTTTTTATCTACCTTCCTTGTGGGACCCAGTGGCAGTCCATATTTTTAGCAGTAGTGTCACAAACAACAGATTTGGGATTATATACTTTTATGACCCTGAGATTAGCTCAGTTGGTTAGTGTGTGGTGCTAATAGTGCCAAGGTGGTGGTTCCATTCCCACATGAGCCATTCACTTAAGAGATGGACTTGGCGATCCATGTGGGTCCCTTCAAACTCAGAATAATCTGTGATTCTCTGTGCTAAAAACCCTTATAATTAAATTTAAACTGTCAAAACAAACAAAAATATAATCTGTTAGCATATTTTGAGATATTTTCAGTGAATGGGCACATGAAGTTTCCCGGCATGTGCTTTACTGAAAAGATTATTAGCTGCAAGCAGGATTTCCTCTCTCATAAAGTACAGAATATCTACAATTAACAGCCACATAAACACATTCATGTACACAGTACATTTTGTGTTGTAGAAAAGTATTTCTGTGAAGACTTTTAATTTTTCCTCTGTTGATGTCAAATTTGCAAGAAACAAAAAAAAACTATCTCTAATTTCTATTATTTTCATTATATATTACTTTCAGTGCTGCTGTGTCTAATGCTGCACTGAACAAGGATGACATGAGAACAAACATTTAAATAGAAGGCTTCTTGGTGCAATGCATATTACACATGCAAAATAGAACAACCTTTTTTTTTAATCTTCATTAAGTGAAGGTAACAAAGAAGTAAAGTTGAGGGGACAAATTATATTTCTGGTAAAACAAAAATGTCAGCAAATCTTTGAGATTATTGGTTCAAGATTGCTGAAAAATCTGCAAATTTGGTAGTTTTTTAATGTGGAATAAAAATTTCATTAGATCTCATGGAAAGAAAAAACATTTTTCTCCCTCTTTGGTAAGAATTACCATCTCAGCAAGAAATATAAATATAAAAGTAATACAATTTATGTTTGTTTTTTCCCTGTGTTTCCAACTAGGTTCAGTTGGAAAATGTGCTTTATTTTTCCAGTAGTTCTGATGTATTCTGATACATACTGACAGGTGGAGGACAAAAGAGCTGAGTAGCACTGACAAATCTTTGTAAGAACTCCTTTCACTCCTCTCTGTCTTGGTCCCTCAGGTTGAGTAATATTTCAGTAAAGAGTTTTCCAAATGTGACACTTTCCATGTCTGAACACACATACAAACACAGAGAGGAAGACTCATGTTTGACAATATTGTAACATCCTCTTCCCCTTCCAGTGCCTGCTCTTATATCAGCACCAATTTTAATCCAGATCCTTCCTCTTTCTTCCTGTGTTGTATGCATCTCCCATGTTGTCCATGACTGTTTCCTATCAAATTTCTGCTTTAATAGACCTCTTTTTACTTTATCTTCCCCCAGATCAGCCTGCTCATATAATCCTTTTCTGTTCTATTAGCCCAGATTCTCTTGAATTGGGCTGCTGTTGTAAAGAATAAATATAGAATTATAAGTAGGATGTGACAATTTATAGCAGCAATTTATATAAGGGTTTTAGAATACATAAAAAATAATCTTGGACCTGTCCTGTTGGAATGCAGAAATTATGAGCATAACAAATTATTTCCAAGGTTAAAAAGAGCCTTCAAGTTGGGGATTAAAAATAAAAACAACCTACCTGGTCATGTTTTAAACTCCTTGTGTATTTGCAAATATTTCCAATATTTCCAGAAGGCTTTATTCCCTCTCATGGAGTTGTCAAAATCTTATAATCTATTTTGTCTTCAAAGTGCTTGTAAGTTAGCACAAACCTTTACTTATGTCTCTAGGAGCTCAGCAAATGTTTTAGTTATTTATCTGCAGGAACTACTCCTAGCATAGCTTTTGCAGCCTGATTAGAACTTCCACTCACTCCTCTTAGATCCTTTTAACATCTCACAATACAAGTGACACTACAAGTCCATTTTTCATCAGAAACTTAGTTCAGGTATCAAAATGTTCCACTTAATCACAGTAATAGTTTGTCTTTGCTGAATAATGTTACTGCCACATCCTCTGGCACAGTTTACTTCCTTTGGTGAAAAATGGTTTGAATCTTACATGTTTGAGTAAGCACAGAAAGAAATTTATAGCTATATGTGTAATATATGGAGACACAAGAAAATGAAACTTTTTTTGGCTTGAATACACATTTAAGTCTGAGACAACATCATAGTCATTAGGGCTTATGCTACACTTTATAGCAAAATGAAAAAATATAGGCTCTTTTAGTTGTAAACTCACAGCTTTTTGATATATTGAATAGGTCAAGAGACGTAAAAAAAGGCTAGCAAAATTTATTTCAATGTCTGAAATGGCTAATATGTCATACAAACCAATATGAAAGAGTTCATTGTCCTCCTTGTAACTTAAATTTTCCATATGATGTGTATTAATGACATCATAGAACATTTGTTAGAAAAGAAACTTCAGTGTTTCAGCTACTCTTTTTCTCTAATTGCAAGGCAGAAGTAACATTACTTTTTATTTCTGAGAACTGTTTGCCTAACCTTCTTTTAAAGATTTACAGAGTGCACATGAACCATAGCTTATTTACTCAAATGCTTTATCACTGCACAATTAGAAAGGTTTCTCTTGTGTTTCTCTCTGCCAGTTCAGGCTGCATTCACACTACACTGTGAAAATAGATAATTTTCCTCCTGTTTGCAGCAGATTTTTATCTTTACTGGTATTTTGTATTCACTCAAGGAGTCTCCTTCTCTTTTTAGACTTACCTGCTCCTTGCTTCAGTCAGTCTTTGTCCATAGGTCATTTTTAGAAGCTCATGATCATTTTTGCTCTTTCCTAGAAAGTCTCTAAATGGTCAATGCTTTTAAAGTGCAGAATGTGGTTCTCAAACGGAGAACTTTACCAATACTGAATCACGTGAAGGGGTATCGTTTCATGTAATTGTAAATTACACTTCTGTTTACACTCTGAAATGATATTTGCCTTTCTTGCTAGGTCATTATTGATGTGTTTAACTTGTGGTCAGAAATTACCAAGATCCTTTGCTTTTCAAATGTTTGCTTCCTTATTTATTGTTCATCTTTTATTTGTGTTGCTGACTATACCTGCAAAGATACTTTACGTGCACCTATCAAATAGCATAGTATTTAGGTTATTTTTTCATTTTCTTGTGAGCATATTATCTTATATACTTCTCTCATGTTTTCCAGAATCATGTAATCTGCTAAATCAATAAGCATAACATTTATTTTTTAGGATATTAACGGAAATATTGAAGATAGCGGAGTGAACAGAACCCCAGTACACACTCAATTATCTGTTCTTCAAGCTTGCTAAAGAATGATATATGGCACCTTTTTCAACATAATTATGAAAGCTGTTTTGTATTCTTTCAATAGTTTTGGGAGCTACTGCATATCATCCTAGGTTGATATTGGAATAATAAAAGATTTGCCAGAGGTATTAAAGGCAAAATATACAATATTCCTGTTAGTCCTTCCACAAAGGTGGTTTTCACAGAGTCACAGAATATGCCAAGTTGGAAGGAACCCACAAGGATCATTGAGTCCAACAGAATCATCCATGAGAGTCACACCATGTGCCTGCGAGTATTGTACAAACACTTCTTGAACTCCGTCAGGCTTGGTGCTGAGACCACTTTCCTGGCGAGGCTGCAGCCAACCACCCTTTTCCTGTTGATGAAAAAAAGATCAGGTTTATCTGAAGCAATATTTTTGACCTCTGTCTTGATTTTCAGTCCTTCAATTTTATTTTAGTGACAGTCATTCTCTTTCATTATTGGTATCTTTCTATGAGTTGAAGTGAATGGATTGATTTGTAATTCTTCACCTCCTTTTGCCCTAATTTTTGATTTTAAAAAAATATTTATTTTGCATCTTTTTTTTTTTTCCATTGCAAAGCCCCCTTTGTTAGCTGCTTGCTACCTCCTCTTTATTCCATTATTTTGAGGGTAACTTTGAACAGCTCTGAGTTTTTTTTTTTTCATAGATTTCCTTCTGTGTTGAGTAACCTTTTCCTGAGTTTATATAACTGTCTCTTGATATCCTAGATAACACCTGTGAGATGTACATCAGTTTGTCCCTTGCCCTGTTTGATTTGTCTCTGTATGCCACAGAATTTATCTATAGTGTTTATATAACCTGCTCTACTTTCCACTTTCTGTATGCTTTCTTGATGTTGAAATCATGAAACAAGATCTGATTCTGACAACACATTCCAATTCATTCTGGTGGTAGCAGTTCATTCCTGGTTTATTCCTATGAGGAATAGCCAGGTTTCCTTAATTCCTTTTAGCATTAGACTTGCCTAACAACTCCCTGGGTTACTGACACTTATTTTGTAATAAATATTCTATTTTCTTTATCTGTGAGGACTTGGAGCTCTGCCATTTTTTGTTCACTTGTCCTAAAATACTGTAATCATGGAGAAGCTTCAGCCTGGAAGTCTCCCATTTACGTGCTTTCTTTATATCTTAGGAGTGACACACTATATCTGGTTTTGCCTACCTTACAAGAACAACCTAAAGTTTTTGTCTCATCGGCATGTCCTCTTTGTAAGGTGATTTTTCTGGTCACTCATATAAACTCCCATTTATATAACCTTGTAGTCAAGGCAGCACTTATGCCTTTCTCATGCATTCTCTTTACTCTTATAGTTCCTGCTCTCTGTAACTGAATGGAACCTTTTTCTTGTTATATATTTCCTCTCTTATTGGCTTCTTCATCTACTATGGAGATTTGATGATCTTTTATATTAAAATGTGTGACTAATCTCATGAAGTTGCTGCTATGCCAATCAGATATAATTTTCAGAATATATTTTCTATATATTCTTTCTAGTCCTCCTCATTCACCTTCTATTTATTTTTATATGTCTACAAATTTATGAGATCTTTGGAAGATTGGCACACTTTCCATTTAATTCTGCTAGGAAACTTTTACAAATAATTTAAAATGTTACTACTACTTTTAGTAATTTGTGCTAGATTCACATGAACAGTGATAATAACGCCGTGAAATGTGGCATGCTGGTACAGAACTCAGGCTTGTTATCCTATATGAAATCGCTGTGATACTCTGATTTGAAATTCATTGCAAAACTTTATGTGATACACTTTTCTAAAAATGAACTTGACTGATAATGTGAAGTCTCCAAACTTAGTTTGCTATCTTCTTGTGGGTCAGGCATGGACTTGAACCATTTAAATATATAATCAGCCTTTAATTTCAAGAGGCCAATGTGCATGATAATTAGCACCAGTCATCTTAACTTCTTCGCAATTTTAAGTAAAAAAAAAAGGCCAGAACATTTTCCTGGGAAGTAAACACAGAAGAAGCATTTTAAAAAAAGCCCTTGAACACAAAATACCTTCGCTCATTGTGAATTATAACTAATTAGTTTTGTAACTGCCATTTGGATTAAGAACAATGTCATTTTTTTTCCGGGATCTTCTGTAATATTTTTTTTTCTTTCTCTCTAAGCCTTATAATGTTAATGCTGTACTTATTGTTTCTTAGTTTTGCTCTCATCTTCATGACACTGACTAATCATCCAAGCACTATCTGCTACTCTGCCAGGGCCTCCTGGGTAATAACAGTGCCAGTGCTTGATAAGTGGCTGCCAGATAAAACTCATGTTGGTTCAGGAGAAACTGCACCAACTGTAAAAGAAAAAAATAATGAATAAAGAGAGCAAAAGACTATAACAGTTACTTTAACAGTTTATTGAAACTGTGCATGTTTGAGTAAATCAAATGTTTCAGAAGGCAACGCATAGTAATTTTATTTGCAATTAAATGAGACAGTAACTGAAAGAATGCTATTTTTCTATAGATCAAGCACTCTGTTGGGACCTCTAGTGATTAAGTCTTTTCTATATATGGCTACTTTACTATTTACAAGAGATGAGTTGGTAATAGAAACTCATTTCTGAGTGAAAGAAAAAATATATAATTTGAAAATATAAAGCCTATAAATAAAGATGTGGAGAAGGAAGTGCAGTGTCTACATGTGCTTTTTTTGGAGTGTGGTGGTTAATCAGAAAGAATTGTGGTTCAGGAAGAAGATTAGAGTCCTTTTTTTAAAAAAAAAAAAGATGCTTTGGATGGAGGAGGGATATGAAGGGAGGCAGTGAATTGAGTACGTGGGCAGAAAATTGCTTCCTTCAAAGGAGCTTATGTTATGAATCCCTTTTTCTGAGAGTTTTGCATAGACTTAATGAGGAATAAGAAGCTTAAGAATACTTCCTAATTAAAAGTATTTGCTTTAGATGCATAATCTCGAGGCCCATTCATCATTCTGTACCTGAAGGTCATTTAGTTCAGAACATCTGTACAGGACATGTACAAAAAATCTCCTGTTTTGACCGACTTGAGAACAAGTAGTAAAAAGAAGGAATGGAGAATGATAGTTATGGAAGAAAAAGTTACTTTTGAAATGTTTACTTTAGGTTTTTATGTTACTCTTCAAACATATGAGGGCAAACTGGTCAGGGTTAATCAATGTCTTTTCAATAGTTGCTCTGCTGTCCTATCAGTAAAGAAGTGGAAGAGAGAGGGAAGTTTCTGCTATATGCGGTGTTACAATTCATTTCACAGAAAGACAAAACTAATTGAAGAATAGCAAAATTTACTATGAGCAGGCTTCTCTGGAGTCCATCTACATTCTCAGCCAGAGGAAACTAGCTACATGTGTTTTGAAAGTGTGTTATATTATTTTATCAGTTCAGGTTTTAAATAATTTTTAAATCAGGTAAAGCTTCTCCACTGGTGTGGATCCAATCCAGGTCTATCTTTTTAAAAATGTGGAAAAGTTCCAGAGATAGGGTCTGCTTATCCTCTCCTGTACTTTTGTGGAAAAGGATGATATTTTGCATCACCCAGTATGCTGGGTATTACATGTGTTATAAATTTATGTCTCTTAATCCTAGTTTTCTACAAATCAACCACTCTGACATGTATATTACTAGATACCTGGGGCAGTTGTTATGTTGGACAGACCAATAAAATGCAGTGAAGCATGTGGCAATAATCACAAATGTCCATCATTAGATGTTTTATTACTGTATTGAAGTATTCAAGTTGTTTGCCTGCAAGGATAAAATCTCCTCTAGGCTTAGCAGAATTTTGATTTAAGTGCCTCTGGGATCAAGTGTGTGGCATGATGAAGTTCAGCAGCTCTATGAAGTCATCAGTCCATCAATCAGTTTGACAGTACTCAGCTTCATCCACTACCAGTTTTCCCTTATACTCTCTGTAAATTTGTTTTTAAATTTTTTCTTTCCTTTCCTCTCCCCTGTTAATGACTTTTCTTATCTCTTCAAAATTATAGTGTTGAAATTCGTGCCTTCCTTCTCTTGTACTGAGACAAAAGTGCAGGATGAAAGGAGGTATCACATCTGTCTGTAATCTTTTTCACTTGCAGATTTTGTTATTAAAATTATGGAGACTTTCATAACTCATGTACCTGTAATACCACTGAACCCTACTGTCCTCGTGTTGCACATCCTTTGTACCAGCTAGGCTACCTTAAAGATAGCAAAAGGGGCCCTCAGGGGACACCTTCACTTAGTGAGGGTCTCCTTTGTGTGCATGTTCATGCTCGTGACACATCCTGTTTTGGTTTTTTTTTTTATGACTGTGCAAAAATATCTTTAAAGCCTTTAGAACTAAGCTACAGATTGAAGTGAACATCAGACTGTCTTTTACCCATTCATTACAGACAGCTTTTCACAGTGGTAGGAGGTTACCGGCTGGAGCCGGTATATTTTCAAATTGTGGAGAAGCAAAAGAAGGGTGAAATGATCTCATTTGTAGATAATATAAAATTTGTTCATATAGTCCATCTAAAGCAGATAATGAGGAGAGGCATGTTTCTTACATCACTGTCTGATAAAATGGCAGGTGAAGAGCAATGATAAAAAAATGCAAAGATGATGGAACACATTCTCTACTGGTTTATCTATCTGTCTGTGAATACACACATACACTACATCCACAGTATGAGATCCCAATTTTTCTTTCACTGTAATCAGCATTCTGTGCAAGTATTGTGGCTATTAGGAAAATATCAAATTGTTCTGACTTTTTAGATCAATAATAGCTTTCCAAATAACCCAACCCTTTCAGAGACTGATTATATTTACTATTAAAAGCAAAAAACCCAAACAACCAAACCCAACATTATATTTTGCTTGTGGGGCAAGATCAGCATTATTTATTTTGACAAAAATGTTTGGGCTTTGTTTTTCTTGGCCTTACAGACAGAACAAAACTGATGCTATCTAATTCACTGCTAAGAAGTACTGACATAATGTTATACAGCTCTTTACATAGACTTTCTGTAAACTTTCAGGACTCTAAATGTTACATTTCTTCTCATACTCTACATTATTAGAACAGACAGAAACATTTGATTTAGATGAAAATTAAAAAAGACCAGATGTTTTTCTCCTCTCTGTTGCATTCTCTTGAAGGCAAAGCTATTAAAATCACCAGGTTTGAATACTGTCTCAACTCAGGCCGACTGAAACTGGGCTGTTTATTTAGCAGAACCTACATAAACTGAAACTGAATTTTGGTTTCAACTGATTGACTGCTTTGAATCTGCTGTCTGCTTTGGATCACACTCTTTCAAGGAAACTACTGAATATGCTGCTCAAATTAAAGAAGGTCTATGCTATGTAAGGTATCGTGCCACAGTGTATTTTTAAAGTAATATAAATGTTTACACACTTTGCTCAAGACCTATCTGTTGCAGCCCCACAGGTGCAATCTGCTGTCCACAATGTCTAGAGGTACAAGATGGAAAAACCTGAGTATCAGGAACTTGATGCAACTCTGACATACATTCCCTGCTGCTCTTGACATACAGGTTTTTTGCTGTATTTGTTTTACAATGCATGATAAAGCTTATTCTGTTGACAAGTAAATGTATTGGGATGATTTGTATTTTGGATGAAATCTCTCCCGTTACTGTCAGAGCACATAAGACAGAATCTTCAGAGCCAGATAAACTAGAACTTGACAGTTTGCTACTAAATGTCATAAAGTTATATTTTGCTGATTAATCCTCCTATCTGTCAGTATAGAATAAATCTTTGTTTTCTCTCTAATTGTGTGTTAATAATGCAAGAAGATTTTTATATCTTCTATGTCACTTCAATAATTTGTATCATATTTCCCTAATTTTCCCCTAGTATTCTACCAAAGTTTGACATTTTTCAGTCTCAGCCTCTCATTTGTTCTTAGTCTGTTGCACTTTCTTCGTACTATGAGAACCCTCTTCATTAATCTTCTAAATGCACCATGTGCTATGCTGTGCTGTTCCTTCAAAAATTCAGTGACACTCTAAGAGGAATCACAAGAGAAAAAGAGAAAAGAATTCTAGAGATACAGGGAGAGGAGTTAGCAGATAGCAGCTTTTCAAAACATTTTCCTTTTTCATAAAAATATCTTGTTTGCAAGACTGAAAATAACCTCTTCCTGTAATTCTATGTTTTAATTTTTCCTAGTGTCTGTCAAAAATACTTACCTATTTACAGGTAGGAAAGAGGTGCTGGAAATGAACTGTGTAAGCCAGAGCACCGATTTATGGAACCTATAGTACCTGGCAGAGGGGGTGAAAAACTGTAAACTTTTTTTTTTTTTTTTTTTTAAGATCCCAGGAATTCAGAAAATTACTAATATAAAAAAAAATCAAATAAAGGCCTGAATGAAATTTTAATTTAAGATGATCACAGATATAGACTATCAAAGGAATAGTTTCAATCCAATTAGGTGCTAGGAAGCAAAAAAATCTCACTGAAAATCTCTGTGGTGAGTCAGTGTTAGACCATGGCCAGCCTCTGAGAATGCTGAATGCTGTGATCAACGTACAACTCAAGAGGTGACATTTTAAGTCAAAAGAGAAAAACCATTTTAATATGTCAGTCAGTGCCTTTTTGGTTCAAATGATGGTGATTGATTCCATCTCCATGGAATGCTTACAGCTATCAAAAGTGAATGCCTGGCTCTTTCAGGGAAAATGCTGAAATAAAACTAAATAAAGTATCCAGCTGAAAAAAAGGGAACATGGAATAGCTCTGTTTTAGCTGGGACAATCATAGTGCCTTTAAAGAGATCAACTTGACCACTGATTTTTTGTGCCATGAGCTACACAGTCAGAAACTATAATAGGCTTCGTTGACATTGCAGTTCACTATATTATAAATCTGAATTATAGCAATCTGAGGAAATAGCAGTATGTAAAAGAACATGAGCATGTGTATGCAATGTAGAAAAGTAGAAATTGGAAAGTTAAAAAAAAAAAATGGTTGCTGTAACTGCAGAGAAAGTAAGTTCTGATTGAGTCCATGCTTCATTCATGCAAGAAAATGACCTTGGTAAGATGTCCTACCCAGAGCAAATGCAGATGATGTTGTAATTAAAGACACACACAAAAGGCACATAATACCAGTTCATAATCATGCTAATCAGATTACTATTATTACTCTGCTCTAGAAGCTGCAGCATAACATCTAAGATATTGTGGTGAGACCCACAACATGCATTGCATAAGACTGGCTGTGCAAACGAATTTTCAGATATAATAAATATGTCCTAAACGTGATGAATAAACATAAGTATGCTTTTCTGTTACCAGAACCCACAGCCAGCAGGTATTTCTACAGCATCAGTCAAGGATCTACACTAAGTGAACTGAGAAAGACATTTTATTTATTTAAGTTTGATGACAAAATACATTCATCCTTGGGTTTGACTGGAGGTACCACACAGCTAAATTAGGCATAATTCAAACTTCTAAAATAGAAAGATTATGAGTTTGCTGGAGAAGGAAGATGAGTTTGATAACGAGTTGAGCTTCCTATATACATTTCTGTCACTTACCAGTTCTATGTGTGTTTTATAAACCCATATCTTCTACATTTCAGTATTTGTTTTAGAAGATTGTGCTCTTTATTCTGTATAGAATGAAGGATGTAAGAAGAATGATTTGCTTCAATGCACTACAACACTATGATCTTATCCACAAATATTGGTGTATATCTCATTCAGCATAAGCTCAAAAACATATACCCTAAAAAATTATGAGGAAAAAAGAGGTGTGTGAAGAATTGATCAAGTATTTAGTTATCTGTATATTGTAAGAAAGGGCATTATATGCACAAATAGCATCATATACATGTATAATAGATACAAACATACACATTATGTAACAAATATAATTTGTCTATCTGGTTGTCTGTCTCATATGGACATTTGTATCAAGTGTTGAAAATGCATGCATATGTTCATCTTCAAGTAAACAGTTGATGTAGCTTACAAAGAGACTCAACAGAAAAGCACTTAGTGCTGTAGAAATGTGTGGAAATCCATAAGGCCTGTGCTTACACTAAGACACAATGCCCCAGTTACAGGGGTTTCTTTCAAAATGCCATTATGAAAAGAAAAAAATTGCTTTCTAGGCATTTGAGCAGATAAATTCTGGGCTCAAAAGAGGTGGAATAAGATTTATGAAATTCTTGATTGCACACTTTACAGATGTAATCATCCAGTTCCCACCCTTTTCCTCAATGTATTGCCTCGTGTCTCTCCAACATCAGGTCATAAAAGATTTGCTGAATGGTGCAAAAAATCTGTTTCATTTGTCTTCCTCCCTTCTTCCACACACTCCAGGCTTGCAACATCCAATAGGTAGCAACTTGTCTCTGCCACGGGGGAAGGACTGCATCTCAATCACAGGAAACATCTGGAAGGAGGAGAAGTAGATCCAAAGCACAATCCTGTGAAGACTTGTGGGTTACATTTGTGATGGGTTGACCTTGGCTGGATACAAGGTCCCCACCCAGCTGCTCTATCACTCCCATTTGCCAGCTGAACAGGGGAGAGAGTAAGATGGAAAACAACTCGTGGGTTGGGATAACATGGTTTGTTTAAAGTGATAGCAAAGCAAAATCTTGCATGGGCAATAGAGAAGTGGAACAAAAGACCACATCTCATGAGCAGTGATGGTTGGCCACCCCCGAGAAGCAGGGCCTCAACATGCTTGACGATTCCTCAGCAGGCAACCACTGCAGACAGTGAATGCCCACCTTCCTGCTCCTTGCCTTAGCTTTTGTATCTGAGCTGATGTCATATGGTCTGGAACATCCCTTTGGTTAGTTTGGATCAGCTGGTCTACTTGTGTCCCCTCCCAGGATCCTGCCCTTGATTGAGGAAGGAATGTTACAGTGCTGGTGCTGTGCTCGGCAGTAGCCAAAATACCACAGTGTTATCAACGCCCTTCTAGCTACCAATGCAAAACACAGCACTGTGAGGGCTACTGTGGGGAAATAAACTCCAGCTCAGCCAGACCCAATACAATATGCAAGACAGCATGCATGCAGGAGGCCTGCTGAAATACAGGGAAGGAGAAAATGTGTTGAAAAATGTACCAAAAAAAAGTAAATGTTTTCACATTCCCTAAAGGCTGAATGTGGGGTCATAGCAGAGATACAGTAGAGACAGGGAAGGAATATAGTGATGTATCAATAAATGGTGCTGAGAAATTTCTTAGGGCTGTTTTAGCATTGACTTCTATCAACATGGCCACATTTTCTGAAATTTGGTTTAGCTGGTACAGTAAGTTTCAAATTTCAACAGCTACACATGAGTATATGCTGATCTGCATTTTATATGGACTGTAGACACCACAAGAAAGCCTTGATACATGTGGTATTGAGACAGCTCTAGTATGATTTCAAGTGCCAAGACATGAGGTCTGACTGAATCAGCTGAGTAGTACTTGCTGGTTTTGGAATGGTTGCAAGATTCAGTGAGCACTGGATATGTACTGATACTCTTGATTCCTTCCCATGGTCACATCATGTCCTGCCTCAAAATCCCTAACCCACAGGCCTTGTGGCTGTACACCCATGTCCCAAGATCACACTGAGAGGGAACAATGCACTTTTCTAGTCTTACATATTCAAAGCATGTAACTTTTTCAGCTTACATAACCGTATATGTTTGTGCAGGTGGAAGGCAGATCTCATATCTTCTGAAGCCATTACCTTGTTGGCTCTCAGACAGGCTTGTAGGTCTGGTGGCCACCACCATCATAGCTGAATGGTTGCTAAGGTTTACAATAGCCACTTTCCAGACGGTAATGACATCCTTTCTCAGATAAACTGATATAAAAAAAGTCCTGAAAGTCCTGCTTCAGATTATGCCCACTGTCTTGAAGATAGGGTACTTGTCAACATAGGAAGAAGAAGAAAAAATATTACATCTCCTTCCTTCTCTAAAACATTTATTTATAGAGTTAAGGTTAATGTAAATAAAGAGTCCCTTATAAGCCACACTGTGAGCACACAGTAAGCAACGAGTTAGGTGTCTGAGCCCATTTTTTCCTAAGTCCCCATGAAGAATATGCTTTGATGAACTTTCCTGCCCTGACGCTGCTGAATTCTTTGCTTTCAATTTTACTTTGATGTGCGTCAGATATGTGTTCAGGGTCACTAAGATGATGTATGCTTTTTGGCAGGGGAACATCAGGGAGACATGGCCAGTGCAAAAGTAGGCAACATGCCTGACTGCTAGCTACCTTATATTGCTTCCACATCAAGGCATCCTGACTTGCTGCTTATCATTCCAGTCAATAAATCTTCGTAATGTATTTTTCTGGCACTTAATGAGAGGTCAGTGTTACAGAATACTTGGTACAAACTGGTATCTCATAAAGAAGTGGGTAATTCAACAGATATTAGAGGAGAAAGGCTATGATGCAGCGGGGAAGACTCTCCTCTCCTCTCTGGTTGCTGATCAGAGATATGACCAGCTGTCTAAAATATTTCACCAAAGATATTTCAAAATGTTTGCTTGAAGCATTACATTTCTGGATGTATTTTTCTTCAGCACATGAATGATGAGCAACATTCAGAATATTAAAAAAGCCCATTCCCCATCAGTCTAGTCTTTTCTACCTTCCTTTCTGCTTCTGTGTGATGCTTAGTTCATCCTGCAGCTACGTGCGAGCCATTTATTGCCTGCAATACCTTCCATTTCAGAACCTGGATATTGGCTATCTATTTCCTTCTTTTTCTGCTCCTTTTCAGAATTAAATTGAAGCCTAGCCTCATTCTTCTGACTGGGAATAACAACCTCATGACTGAGTGGTAGTGCCACTGGAGACAGCTGATTGCGTTTTATATCCATCATCAAATGATATACCTTGTGTCATACTTTCTTCTGATTTTTTTAAAATTTTTATTTCCACAGCATTTGCACCTATACACACTGCTACAAATATTTACTTAGTGACTGAATCAAAAGTTACTAGTTTTTTTGCTGAACAGCATTTCACTTGCTGAGTTGCACATCATGGGTGCTGATGAGTTATTTCATTAATGTCAAAGAGTTCATGGCTGAAACACATTCTAAAGTCATTCTTTAAAGTAGCCTTTAATCAGATGGGCTTTTTCTAGAAGGCAGTAGTAAACTCCAAATAAATATGATCTGTGAAATACCAATAATACACTTGTAGCTGAACTCTGTCCACCATGAAACTCATCTGGGAAAGTGCTTCATTGCACTTACTAAGCAGAAGAGCTTCCTGAAAACCAGAACTTCTTTAGTGCTATCTGTAGTTTTTTGACCTCTGATGCCCACGTTACTGTTCAAGATGTATTTTCTCAAGTACAAAATGAATGTTATTAGTTCATACATTCTAAACTTCCTCCTAAATATCCTACCAATGTTTTACTGTGTTTATTTCCCTCAATCCTCCAAATAGCATTTTGCCAGTATATTTGCAACACTAATTTTCATAATCAGTCTAAGGTCTCTATACTACAAAATCCTTTATTTTTTTTTTCATTCCTGTTACATTTTTGTTAACTTTCTATATAGAATTGAAAATATTATTTGAGTAACTGCATGAGCTAGACCAAAGCACTGATTAATTTTTCTCTGAGGTCAATAAGCCTGGCCAAAATCCATCTGCCAATTAGGTAAGTGCGTGAAATGTGTTAGGTTTTAGACAAGCCCAGACAACCTGTCTAAGTGGGGGAGTACTCAATTTTGAAAAATACTAGGTGAAGGTATGGTTTTATTAAAAGTTTGTGAATGTGAACATGTTTCCCATTCTAGCAGCAGAGAAACTTCTGGGTGTTTAAATTCTCAGCTGCTCATGCTGAAAATGCAAGGGAAGATAAATACTGCAGTGTAAAATCTGCTTCCTAATTGAGGCTATTTTGTAGCTTGAAACATCATGACGCTTGGAATGTTTTGCTAAGATGCCCTTATTTAGCCAGAATCCAGCCCAAAGTGCCGGCTGTGCAAACTTATTAACACATCCTCAGGTTTATGGTGACTCATTACACAGGGGCAACGTATGAGCAATTACCCTCACTAAAGAAAGTGTCATTCTGTTCAGTTTAATTATGTGAGATTTGTTGTAGACTGGTTATTGTTGCAAATGAGGACACAAAGACAGCAAGACTCTAAAACCATGAAAGAAATGTGTGCACATCCATATAACTTCTACAAATCATTTCACTGAATGGTAAGAACGTTTCCATAGTGCTTTGCATATGTATAGACTACTCTACCTGAGTGACAAGGTAATTTATGCCTTGCCAGTAGAATATTGGAGCCATTTGATTGCAATGTACATCATGCACTTTCTTAGTAAACTTGCATTAGAAAGAAATACAGCAATTTCTTTTTAAGAGATCAAGAACACAGTAGGCAAGCTATGCTTACAGCATCAGTCAGATGAATTACAAGAATTCATTGCAGATTTTACCATGCCAGAATAGAACAATGAAGTCTCCGATCATGCTTATGGTAACAGATAACTTCAGCTGGAGACAAAAATTTCCCTATTCTATCTGATTGATTAAGCAATGGTATAGAAAGACCTTTAAACAAATGTCAGGAGGGCTTGGCCCTTCCTGCAGAAAACTTG